TAAAGTGGTTGTAGATTTTACTCTTCCATTATTTTTGTCACATTTATTATTTGACACTCTTAAGCAAATTTATTTCAAACATCTGGTTTAGAGGAAGGATTTTGGAAATCTAGTCAACATAATTTAAACTAACCACTGGGAGAGTCTGGGTGGGTGGGTGGCGGGGGGGGAGGGGGGGCGGTGTGTGTGTTAATTCCAATGTTTCATCAAAGAATAGTTTAATTCTAAACTTGTTATTTATAACAAGATGCATATGTTCTTTCTGGCAGTCCTACAGGGAAGCCAAGGCATCCACGTCAGCCGTGTGGTTTGCCAGCACACATCATTTACTGATCAGATTGCGTGAATGATCCTTGAGTGTGTGAGGCTCTGTGACGTCTCTCATTGTCTTGCTAGTGGAAAACGTGAATATTCTTGCTGAACACCGAAGCTGACTCTGGTGGGCTAACGCACATGAATTCTGTTGACTCACATTGCAGGTGGATAACCAGCTTCTTGGAGTGAGGTTAAGTTTGTACCTTCGTTCTATAATATGAATAGAAAGAGATCTTAATTCAAGGCAGTAGCAGCAGACATTTCCACTTGAATCCTAGTGGGCAGACTGCTGTGCACTTTGTCGTGAAGAGTATTTTATTGTCGGATAATCCAGATAATAGGGCCTATGCTTATCCACAGCCTAACTTTAAGGTTCTTACCTCATATATGTCTTACTTATCTTTAAAAAAATGCACTCGTAAGTGGGAATAAGCATTTCAATATTTGATGAGGAGGGTTAACATTTGATAATTGATTTTTTTTTAGTTGGTAGTATTTTAAATTTTGCTGCCTTAAAAATTAAGACTCTCTTATACCTTTCTCCAGAAGTAGAGATTTTGAAGTATCACACATTTGTATAGTAAGTGTTTTTAAGTTAAAACTTAAATATTGTTACTTTTTCTTAAGTGTTGGTACTTTTAATAAAAAGGTACATTTTTTAGTTTAACGATTGTCATGACGTTTAGAGAAGTGATTGCCAAGGTCTCTTGCTGTCCAGTCTCACAGAAGATTTTCAGAGTTGAAGAGCTCTGTGTGATCCTAGTCAGCATTAGTTAGATTTTTAAAATATGAAACTAAATTGGGACAACGGTGTCTCGGCCGAGTATTTGCACAGTGCTTGGTGCACTGTGGCAGCAGGCCCCTGGAGTTCTGTCTGTGGGCAGCCCGAGCTGTCCTGGGACTGAAGTGTCCAGTGAGGGTATTGCTCTTTGCCTGGTATTTCATCTCAGGTCTTGACCCTGACTCTCAAGATACCAAGTTGAGTCCACTGAGAAGTTCTAGTGAGAGCACTTCTCAGAACATTGTTCCCAGATGTATGCTCCATTCTCACTCCGGGGGCATCTTGCCAACTCCATTCACATGTGGCAGTGAGGTCCCAAGGTGGTACATGCGTCACATTTGGGGAGTGGCTGATCACTGTTAGCTCACACCAGTGGTTTCAAACGTGGAGTCTGGGCCCCAGGAATACACAAAGGAAGACTTGGCTGTGTGAACAAATCAGTAGAACTTGCATTTACCTTTATTTTTGGGACTTTTTAGCTGAGCCTTTGTTTTGTCTATGTGTAATGTGTATGCCAGTGAATAGCATCATTTATAAATAATTGCACACACATCTGTTGGGTATATGTGCTCTCATTTTGTTTTGCTAACGGTGCTGTCTGATCAAGAGGTTCAGACTAGATAAGGCTCTGAGGAGTGTCCGGCAAGGATTCTGTCCTGTGACCTTCCAGCTCCTCCATCAGTGAGTGTCATGCTATGGAAGATTTGTGCATTTATGTGCTTTCTTATGAAAAGAGCCATGGTTTCCACTAGATTCTCAAAGGCATCGTTGGCCCTGAAGGTCAAATATCTCTGGGCTGAAACCAATGAAGCTTGTTTGGAAGGACTCAGTCTTGTTTACAGATACCTTCTTAGGCTAAATTAAAGGGTATTTGCCGGGGTCCAACCCCAGCAGGTCCAGGGGTCCCCAAAGGTGTGGACGGGGTCAGTGAAGAAGGAATGACACGGAGACAGCGTTCAGTTGATCAGCAGCCTAGCCAGGATCTCTAGCCAGGATCTCCAGCCAAGTTCTGGTCTGGATCTCCAGCGAAGTTCTGCTTAGGATCTCCAGCCAGGTTCTGTGTCCATGTTCTCTTGCTAGGTTCTCCAGGTTCTCCAGCCAGGTTCTGTAGCCATGTTCCCTCGCTAGGTTCTTCAGCTAGGTTCTGTCCAGGTTCTCCAGCCAGGTTCAGTCACCAGGTTCTAGTCAGGTTCTCTTGCCAATTTCTGTAGTCAGGTTCAGTCCAGGATCTTTTGCCATGTTCTCTCCAGCGAAGTTCTTCTGTCTGTAGGTTCTGTGTAGTTTCTGTCTTCTTAGTTCTGTGTTCTAAGCTCTGTATTCTAAGTTCTGTTTCTTGCTGTCTTATTACATCTGTATTTATACCAGTTGATTCAGTCCTATCAATCTCTATTACAAAGGTTAGGGCGTTTCTTATCTTCATTCCAGGCCAGTTTCTGTCCAGGAACTTTTGCCATGTTCTCTCCAGCGAAGTTCTTCTGTCTCTAGAGAACGTTCTGTGTAGGTTCTGTACCTAGGTTCCGTCTCTCTCGGTTCCGTATTCTAAGTTCTGTGTCTTGCTGTCTATTACATCTGTATTTATACCAGTTGATTCAATCCTATCAATCTCTATTACAAAGGTTAGGGCGTTTCTTATCTCCATTCCAGGGAGTAAGGATTATGTAGCTTAAGCATGATTGTTCATAGTTAAAGTGATTAATTACCCACCTGGCACTAGTTAAGAGGTTTTATTCCCTCCCTAACTTCAGGGGAAAATCCCTACCTGGGGAAACAACCTTTCTTGGAGAGGTGACCTTGGTTAAAACACACAGCGCTAAGGGGAGCAAACATATTAAGAACAGTATGCCATATATGCCAGGACCCTTGAAACAGCAAGCATGGACCGGCTCCCGGCAGGTATTCTATTTGAAAAATAAAATATATAATTAGACATGTATTCCTTTTAACAAGTAAAGTTTCACCAAGACTTCCGAGGAGCTGCAGCCACGGCCATTGCCATGGTCTTGTGGTGTGGGGCCGTGCAGCATCCCTGGCTGGACTCTGGGTCCCTGTTGCCTTTAGAAAGATTTTGTTGTTTATATGTTTTCATTAATCTTCTGGCTCCTTAAAACATTATTGTAGATTATTGTCTCTCAAAGTCAAAGTCATTGGCGCTGGGTAGATGTGACTACAAAAGAGTTACTTTTGGAAACATCTTGTTTTCCTGCCTGTTTGGTATGAAGAGTTTTCTGCTGTCTCTATGGGTTGCTTTTGTAGAGTCTGCCCAGGGCAGGTGATGGGATTGCATTGTGGTGGGGATGAGAGTTAAGTCTGAAAGCTGGCTGACAAGGTGAAATGGAGGTTAGTCGAAGTCATTCTTGAAACCCTTAGAGCACTCATAAAATAAAGGGTTGTGTTTTTTAAAAAATATATTTTATTGATTTTTTTACAGAAAGGAAGGGAGGGGGATAGAGAGTTAGAAGCAAAGATGAGAGAGAAACATCGATCAGCTCCCTCCTGCACACCTCCTACTGGGGATGTGCCTGCAACCAAGGTACATGTCCTTGACTGGAACCGAACCTGGGACCTTTCAGTTCGCAGGCCGATGCTCTATCCACTGAGCCAAACCGATCAGGGCTAAAATAAAGGTTTTGATTTATAGTCCTTTGTGGTTAAATTTTTATATGACCCTCTGTAGCTCTTTAAGTTCTTTCTTGAGAGATGGCAACAGTATACCAATGGTCAGAAAATCTTACCATTCACACATCCTTTTCAGTAAGTATGGGCCAAGGCACATGCTCATTGAAGAGAAGGGCTATTTAAATTATTGCTTTTATAAGCGTGTACAGGTGAGTTAAAGGGACTTCCTTGCAATATGACACAACCACGCTGCATTTCCAGCTGTGCCATTTTATTCGTCAAACCTGTAGCATCTGATTCCCATGAATGATTTTTTCCTGAAAAGGACTCACCTGTGTGTTTATTAATTTACTAGAGGCCCGGTGCACAAGATTCATGCACTCAGGAGGGTCCCTCAGCCCAGCCTGTGCCCTCTCACAGTCTGGGAGCCCTCAAGTGATGTCTGACTGATGGCTTAGGCCACTCTCCCCCCCACCCCTTCCCGGGAGCAGTCAGGCAGACATCCTTAGCACTGCCTCGGAGGTGGGAGAGGCTCCCGCCACCGCTGCTGCGCTTGCCAGCCATGAGCCTGGCTTCTGGCTCAGCTGTGCTCCCCCTGTGGGAGCACACTGACCACCAGGGGGCAGCTCCTGCGTTGAGCATCTGCCCCCTGGTAGTCAGTGCGCGCCATAGCTACCAGTGGTTCCACTGTTCAATCAATTTGCATATTACCCTTTTATTATATATAGGATTATTATATAGGCTGTAGTAAGTATTGAGTGTATGCAAGGCTTTGCTGTGGCATTGGGACCACAGGAGTCAAAGATGAACCCCCTGCTCTCAGGACTCATCCTGTGGGGAAAGGAGGCAGTAAAGCAGCCAGAGGAGGCAAAGCTGTTCCAGGTCACGTGTGCGATGGAGAAACAGAATTTGAGTCGAGGGCATGGAGAGGCAGGCGCCCTCTCCAAGGACATGGACAGGCGGGGATGGGGAAGGAGTGGGTTGTCAAGTGTCTTTTTCTATCAGACCCCTGTTTCCTGGGTCAGTGTTCACTCGCCCCCACATCCTTCCCTTACCCCCCCCCCCCCCCAAAGCAGCAGGGCAGTTCTGGTCAGTGTGAGCATGACCTCTATGTGACCTCTGTGTGAGTAACACGTGGGGGAGCAGGCAGGGCGGACGGGTCTGGTTCCACAAGACATAGTCACTGACAGAAACGGGAAAGGCCAAGGAATTGATCTGATTTGCACTTTATTTTGTGATGTCTGTGAACACATCATACCTGATTTTAAGGGCTGTTTGTTTTTAACAGGAATCACTAGATTCGATCTTCTGGGAGACTTCGGAAGGTTTAACTGGCTGGGAAATTTCTATATTGTGTTATCCTACAATTTGCTTTTCGCTGTGGTGACAACACTGTGTCTGGTCAGAAAATTCACCTCTGCGGTCCGGGAAGAGCTCCTCAAGGCCCTAGGTAATCCCCGGCGCTGCGTGGTTTCTCTCCGCCTACTAATTCGTAACTTCACATGAGAGCTAATTTTCAGTTTTCACTCACTCATTTCTCCAAGTGTGTGAGCCCTTAGAGGTCACAGTCCTAACCCTGGTGTGAGTCCTTCCTCACCTGTCAGGCTCCTCCTGAGGACTGCGGGGCGACAGACACTTCTCAGGAGGCTGAGCCCGCCCTGCGCGGTCGGTCGGAGCAGGAAGCGGCAGCTCTTTGTCTGTGACGGGTGCTGGGAGGGAGTGGGGAGGGCGGAAGGATACTTTTTGGGAAGGACACCTCCTTCTGTTTCAGTGCAGGATTTTCGTGAGCTTTGGGTTTTGCAAGTGTCAGGCCGACCCCCAGTTCTCTTCAGTGAGCGCCACACAGCTCAGGATAAAGCATAGCGTTCTCGCATTCCTAGGAGCGAAGCGTCCTGACCCCGTCTCCATGGCCACAGGACAGTGGGCGCGACTCCTCAGTGGGTGTAAACGTGCCCTCGGAGTGTGTGGGTCGGGCTTACGTCAGCAGTAACCTAAGCAGTTCCAGCCTTTAGGTGTTGGGAACCCCAGGTCAATAGAAAGGACCACACATCAGCCTTCTGGGGTGTGGGCATGAACCTTTATAGCAAAAAGGGAAAGGCAGCAGTTGATGCTTGACAGTCCTGACGTGAGCTCACCCCCTGCACTGCCCGCGCTGGGCGCTTACACTCCACGCTCCTGTGTTTCCAGCTCCTGGACAAGGCAGCCTGATGCTGGGCTCACTGAGGCCCTGCGCTCAGGTAACAGCCTTGTGAGCGACAGCAAAGCTTGGCTCACCAGGCCTTCCCAGCCCAGGGATTGAAAGGGTGACCTTTGGGCCTGGCCGGCGTGCTCAGTGGTGGAATGTGAACCTAGGAACCAGGAGGTCAGGGTTTGATTCCCGTCAGGGCACATGCCTGGGTTGTGGGCTCAGTCCCCAGTGTGGGGTGTGCAGGAGGCAGCTGATCAATGATTCTCTCATCATTGATGTTTCCATCTCTCTCTGTTCTCCTCTGAAATCAATTATATATATATATACACACACACACACACACACACACATTTTTTAAATAAAGAAAGGGTGACCTTGGGGAAGGAGAAAAGATTTCGGATTGTTTGTGTTTTACTTTATACTAACCCTGTAAGGAGGTGGCTGATGAAATATTGGCCCGAAAGGGAAAAGTTAAGCCTCACTTCAGCCGGAGCACCAGAAAGTGGGTGGGTCCCTGCCCAGGTGTGGGATTCTGGCTGTGGGGTCTGCACAGTGGCTGGGATCAGGCAGTTCTGGCAGGCAGTGTCCAGAGTTAAACCGCAAGGCCGCCGAGCTGTAAGCTCACTCAGCTCCCGCGGGCACCTCTGCGAGAGGGCGGCTGTACCCGCAGCAGGGCCGCTGCATGCAGGGTCCTGGATGCCCCGTCAGGGCATCTGCACACAGTGGACGCTCAGTTTAGCTACGGATGATGGTGCCCATGGCGGCTTCTGCACAAGACAGACACTGGTTCCTCCAAACCCCAGCCCGGGCAGCACCCATGTTTCAGAAGGAACCCCCCACCCAGGAGGGCTGTGTCCTGTCCCCTCTCCCGCGGATGCAGTGTTCTGTGTTGGGTTCCATGGAAGTGGTGGCTCAGAGGCACAGGTTGCTGTGACTCACATAAATACTTTTTATTCTCTGAAATATTATCTTTGTTCAACTTGTTGCTTTGCCATTTCTTTCTTTTTCTTTTGGGAAATGTTTTCCATTGCCTTTCTTTTTAAATACGTGCTTCATATTTTGCTGTCTGTCAATGCATTTTCCTGTGTTCTTCATATGTGTGTATTTTGAAACACAAATGGATGATGCTTGTTTGGGGTTGGGCTCCCTGGGAAGCGCCCTTGGGGTAGGAACAGGCTTGCAGGAGGATCAGTGCTGAGGGTGGGTGAGTGGGGCGGGACCTCCATGGGGCGCTATGTGTGCCACGGGGCTGGGGCTGGCCCGGGCCCGGGTGGAAGAGCGACCCCTTGGAGGTGTCCCCAGCACCGCCACTCCCACCCGCCTGGGGCAGAGCCTCCTCTCACCATTTCCTCCTCCCTGCAGGACTCCATAAGCTGCACTTATCCAGGGCGCCCCGGGAGTCGGACACCGCCAAGCCGTCTGCCAATGGGCACCAGAAAGTCCTGTGAGGCCGCTCCGCTCTCAGCGCAGATGCGGGAGGACTCGGACATTCCTGATCCCAGGCGTGGCGGCCCCGCTCACTTTCTAATTGTCCTCTGGGAACCTGCGGGGCGTGGGTTCCAGCCCCACACCCACGTCTGCTCTGTCGGGACGGCCACCAGAAGGCAGCCGGGAAGCTAGGGCTTCCGAGGATTTGCTCCAGCCTAGGACCTGCACACGTGGAGGCTGCTGGCGGCACCTGTTGCTGGGACAGGAGGTGACCAAGGGCGTGGGGTGAGGCCAAGGGCATGCACAAGGTGCGGGAATCTCTGTGCCTGGGATGTGGGAGCTGGCGTGGCGCCTGATATTTTCCACGTCCTTGATGCAGGAACAAAGCACAGTTCAGATTTAGTTACAGATGTGAGTCCAGGGGACACAGGGAACTCTTACCCCCACGCTTGGGCAGCCCTGCGTCACCAGGTGGGAGGGAGGGGCCAGCCGGTTCCAAGTTCATGGCCGGTCAGTGTCACCTCTCCTGGCACAGCTGCCAGTGTGAGACCCTGGGACCAGCGCCCGCCTTACAGGCTGTATGACACCATTTTTTAAGCCCTTTTTTCTAAACTCCCTTAACTCCTCCTGTTCCTCCGTCCATCCTAAACTAAGCCCTCTGGGTAGAAGCCCCTTTCTTTTGCCGCTGCTTCAGGCTTCGCTACTTTTGCCATTTAAACCTCAGACCCGGAAAAGCAACCAGTTTAGCACCAAACACACAGCATTTGGCTCTGGCATAAGAAGAGTTTGGCCGACTATCGTGATCTGCTAGCCACTCGGTTGTTAAGCTGTAAATAATTCTCGGGGTCCTGTCGTGGCCCCACGTCCACTGAATAAAGTTGTCCCCCAGGAGACCGAGTTCTGTCGGTCGAGCGTGCAGGATCCGAGGGCCCCCGCACAGCCCCACACCCGGTCTCTACATACACACGTATGTTCACATGTCTGTAAATACGTACATATATTCATGTGCACTGTGTGTGTGCAATGAACCATCTATGCAGGCAACAGTAAAATAACTTTTTTCTCAAATTGTTGCACTTAAAGCTTTTTTTTGGGGGGGGGAGCAATTATGAAAACCAGGCTGTGTATATTGGACATCAAAACATTTCCACTTAGAGTCAAAATATTAAGAAAAATGAATGGTTATGTTTGTAAGCTCCACTGACTGCCTGTCCTCCGTGTACACCCACACTTCCTTCGGAGCCACGTGGAAATGCAGGCCGCTTAAAAGATAGTTGAGGATTGCGAACAGCACTCGGTAAGCCTCGTGCTCGCGCTGGTGACGGCCAGCATGGGACGCGCACGAGGAGGCGCACGCAGGCGTGCTTTCTCGTTCCTGCACCTGCCCATGTGGGCATCAGCTGCCAGCTGTGGCTTTCGCGGGAACTCTGGGAGTCGCCCTGGGACAGACGGCCACGGGAGCAGACACGCTTCTTTCAGTAGAGTGGCGCTGCTCAGTCAGCCCAGTTCAGGCACATCCCGGGAAGAGTTCTGGGCACAAGCGCGACGTCCGACAGCGTCTGGGGCACACAGTCACCTTTTCTGTGTTTGTGTCAGGTCTGTTCACTGACCGCTTCTCTCTGAGGACTGAGCCACCTGGCCGGGCCTCCCAGGGAGGCCTGCTACGGACACCCACACACAGGGCCCTGCCCGGTCGTGGCCTGCACGCAGGGCCAGGGCCTGCAGGCACCTGTCAGTGAGGGCTGGTGAAGGCCAGCAGCCATCCCCAAAGTGGCGCTGCCCCTCGTGACCACAGGCCTCCCCCTTCCCATCTCCCGCATCTTTTCTGATGGCGTTAGGCCTGGGGGTACAGGTTTCTTGAGGAGACTCAGCTAACTCCTGTCATTAATTGGTTCTGCATATTTAAATAAAATATTTTAAAATTATAAAATTTACAGATGATAACTTTTGTAATGATTTTCCAACCTATTTCTTAATGTTTTCTTAGCTTTATGAACATTCTCTCTAAACTAGATCTGTTCTAAGTAAACACAAACACATTCACATTAGCGCTCAGTGCACAGTGGGTGGTGGGTGGGAGGGAACTTTCCCGTGGTCCTGACTCCCAGGTGCGTTAAAGGTGTGCGCACACCTGGTCTTTGGGGCACCCGCACCTGCCTGACTTTGCTGGACCACAGTGGTCCCCCATGGCCTCGGTCACCCTGAATCTGTCCACAGCACAGGTTGGAAGCCTTGTTGCTTTCTAGTCATTTGCATAGTATTTAATGAATAAAGACAATTCTTACAGTAATTTAAAAAAATATATGGGCGTATATACAGTACTGACTTTTTAAACTTTAAAAAATCTTTTTAAACTTTAAAAAATCTGGTCTGATGTTACTTTAAAAAAATGTTTGGAGGCACTGGTAAATTTGTTTACAGGGCATTGTTTTTTTGTTTTGTTTGTTTTTTACAAATTGTTAACTCCTGTTTCTATGAGATATTGTCAGTGTGACCATTTAAATGTCTTAGAAATTAAAGTTTTACAAAAATGAGTGCTTATAAGCACTGAAATGTGTTTTTCTAAAAAATCGGAAATACCATCATGTCTAAAACTTCAGGGTATGTATAGGTACTTCCATTTCCTTGTATAAAGAGCAGTAATTCTGGTGAGACACTGAATGGAGGCAGAAGCCACTATTTTCTCTCTTTATGGTGGAGATACTGGTAGACCAGTTTCTTGCACTCTGAGATGGAGCCTCGATCGCGGAAATGACGTGTTATCCTAACTGAGTACCTAGATTTGTGTGCTTCCCCTGGTCTCTCCCACAGAAGGCTCAGCCGCACTGAGTGTGGTCCAGGCAGCGCAGCGCAGCGAGCGCTCGGGACAGGACGGACGTTAGCCGCTGGTGCAGGCACCGACAGGCAGTGCTTTACGCTTTCTGACCACAGAAGAGAGACACTGTACATGTGAGTCAGCACGCGCAGCCACACGCACACATTTCTGTCCGTATAAACAAACATTTAACCAGGAGGGCCTCCTTTCACGTGTGTGATGTATGCTGGCATTTTCTATTCCATTTTGTTATTTTTTTAACATAAACCACTAAGTCATTTCCTGGCCTGTATTAATGGATGGTAAACTTTAGTTTGAAAGGCACCACGTTGAGGGCTGTGAAAATTGTTCATCAGGTGAAGTGTGTTATTCCAGATACCTGAGGCAGAAGTCCTAGGCGTGCAGAGTCCTTATTGCCCGCAAAAGTGTACTTAAAATCAGTTGAAATCGCTGAACCGCTAACAAATGGATTATAACATTTCAAAACTAGGTGATTGATCCCTATGTCTGGAAGGGGAGAGCTGGGAGCTAGTTTTTGAAAGAAGTGATTTAACCTCCAGTTGTGTGTAACTCAATTAGGAAGGTGTCTTTCAAGTTCAAATGTAACCAAATAGGAAATCCAGACGGAGACAGCTCCTCTTGGTGTCTCACTGCTCAGCCCTCCCAAGCAGAGGCCCAGCCGCCGGGCCAGCAGGACGCCGGGCCGGGAGCAGGGTCACCAGTGTCCGCCACGGGGCAGGGCCCTGGCTGGGAGTGAGGCCAAGGCAGTGGTCACTGCGCCTTGTCTGTCTTCCTTTGAGACGCTGTTACTGAAGACGAGGCCGCTGCAGGAATGAGGGGCAGCCCTGGAAATTGCACGGTTTTTTGTATCAGCAGACGGTGGATTTGGACAGTCAAGTGCCAGCTCCTCATGCGATGCCAATGTGGTCGCTTCCCATGTGGCCCTCGTCCTCTGGGCGCGTCTCCGCCTCCAGCATCCACAACGGCCCCCTCCTCTCGCTGTGTCCTCACTGCGGCCTTGGAGGTGAAGCGGCGGGCGGGGGCGAGCCTGCCGTTTGCAGGGAGACCTTGGCCTCGGTCTCCCCGGTCTCCCCGAGCGCAGGCCCAGGCCCTGCTGGCGTCAGTCGTGGGGTGCCGAGGGGTGGGGAAGCGGCAGCAGCCGGCCTCCCTGTGCTCGGCTCACTCAGCCAAAGGCACTGGGGTCCAGAGCGAGCGCTGCCAGACGCTCCGCAGCGCTGCCCACGCCAGGGGACAGGAAGCTGGATTCTAAGGTGAGACCGACGTTATGTATGTCGCTTGCAAAATGACCTCCTGCTTTAAAATAGTGATGACAAGAACACTCCCAACAGCAGCCACTTGGTGCTCCCGGCGCCAGGCTTTGCTTTTAGCGTTTAATTTGTGTGAATGTGCATTTACATATGTCATTTATTCAGTCCCCATGGTGACCCTGTGAGGTGTGTACTGTTAGTAACAGTATTATTCCCACTTTGTAGGTGAGGAAGCTGAAGCACAGAGAGGTTAAGTAACCTGTCCAGGGGCCCACAGGATTCAGAATTCAAATTCCTGGCCAGCTCCTAAGTCCTGCCCTTAACCACTGTATACACCGCCTCTCAGAGACGTTTTACTCCCACTGATGGCCGAGGAGCACCCCCCCCCCCCCCCATTCCCAGGACTGGATGACAGAGCCCCTCTACCTCCAAACAGCTTCCGCTCCTCTAAAGCAAAAAGGCGTGGCTCAGAGCTGTCACCTCAGTCTTGATGGGGACAGTAAACCAGGTAGAGAACACGTGTGGGACATTTGGGCCTTAAGAACGCTACTTGTTTGCCTTGAAAGGAATTGTGAGAAATCCTCACCTGTCTGAATTCAAGTAACGGACTCAGAGACAGAAGTATGGAAAAAATCAGACTTTTAATAAGTTCTCAAGAGCGGGTGTCTGTCCAGTTGTACAGGTACATCTGGGGCAGCAAACACAGCCTGTTTATTCAGTCCCTCCTCCGGGTCCTCATTGGCTGAGTACTATGGGGTCACCTGTTTCCTCATATGTCGCCTAGGTCTTGCTGTCTCCCATTGGGCCATTTAAAAAAATTGGGCTGAAGCCTGTTAATATAAAAAACCATTGAAACCTGTAAAGAATTTTTGTGAGTTTATTTGAGCCAAACTGTCGACATATGCCGGGAAGCAGAGCCTCAACGAATTGAGATAGTGCTCTGGAGAATGGCGGGGTTACATTTGTATTTATACATTTGCAATCAAAGGAGGGACGTAGGAGGGTTACATGAAATTCATTGGTGATAGATTAAGGGGGAGGGATAAAGCAAAGCAGGGAAACCCCTGGGATTGGATAAAAAGTAAAATGATGGACACATACTTAGGTGGGTGCAGGATCAATTAACATCATGATAATGAAGGAATTTATAGTATCTGTCCTGCCGCCCAGCATATTTGGTTGTGCCCCAGGGGCTCCAGAAAAAGGGAAGTTACAAGTTACCCAGACATTTCAAGGGTATGTTATCTTAGAGGCAAAAAGGCAAATGGGCTCAGTAAGGATTGTTAACGTAAAAAAACCATTAAAACCTGTAAAGAATTTTTGTGAGTTTATTTGACCCAAACTGTCGACATATGCCGGGAAGCAGAACCTCAACGAATTGAGATAGTGCTCCAGAGAATGGCGGGGTTACATCCGTATTTATACATGAAATTCATTGGTGACACATTTAAGGAGGTGGGATTAAGTGAAGTGGGGAAACCTCTGTGATAGGATAAAAAGTAAAATGATGGACACATACTTAGGTGGGTGCAGGAACAATTAACATGACAAATGAAAGAATCTGCTGCATCTATCCTGGGCCCAGCACACCTGGCCGTGCCCCAGGGGCTCCAGATACAGGGAAATCACAAGTTACCCAGACATTTCAAGACACATCATAGATGCAAAAAGACAGATAGGCTCAGTTACAGTAAAGGTTGACCTTATCAGTGAAGATATCGGCTTAGGACGTAACTGCCCACCATAACTGCTTTTAGTTAAGGTTTAATTTCAGACCATCCTTTGTGGTTACTTTAGGTCTCCGAGTCTGCAAAACTGCCATGCAGGCCTCTCCTGAGCTTGTCAGGTCAGCATGTGGCCCCTTTCGTCCACAGGATCAAAGTTGATCTTGTCAGTGAAGATACTGGCCTAGGACATAACTGCCCACCATAACTGCTTTTAGTCAAAGTTTAATTTCAGACCATCCTTTGTGGTTATTTTAGGTCTCTGAGTCTGCTAGGCTGCCATGCAGGCCTCTCCTGTGCTTGTCAGGTCAGCGTGTGGCCCCTTTCGTCCACAAGCCTTTTCTAGTTGCC